GTGGGGGTTGTTTGTGGGTGGATGTATGTGTGCGTGGGTGTGTGAGTGTGTATGTGTATGTATGTGTGGGAGTTTTGCATTGGGGGCGGATATTTGCTTTTCTCCCAGGTACTGTCGTTATTGAGCTTGTGATCAGAAGTGTCATTTATTTTTTCTTTGTTATCGTACTTTGGCTTTATATCAAGGCTTTGATGATCTTGCCCTTTCCGGAAAAATAGAACGCAAAAGAATCAGGGTTTTACAAAGGGCACCTTATTTAGAGAACATAAACAGATGGATGACAGAGAAAGACCAGGATATTATATGTATACATTGAGAACATCCGAACAAAGAAATGAATGGCAAACCATGAACGCTGATTTCTGCTTCAGATCTGACACTTTATGATAATGATCATGATACTTTAATGTGCGTCTTATTTTGTCCACATATTGCATTGTTCTTCATCGATTCTAGTTCTACAAACTGTTTTTGTAATTGCTATCGTAGTTGTTTTAGTCGAAGGTGTACTTTTACAGTGCCAGAGTTTATTCTTCTGCTTCCTTTTCCCTTTGCCTCCTTGGACCGTCTCTGTTCCTTTTACCGCTTCTCTCTCCCTATTATAAGACTTTGGTTTTTTTTATTACTCTGTTGATTGTTGTTGCTGCTGCTGTGGTATTGTTGTTGTTGTTGCTGTGGTATTGTTGTTGTTGTTGTTGTTGTTGTTATTGTTGTTGTTGTTGTCATCGTTACTGTTGTTGTTTGTTGTTTATACTGTTCGTGCTGAAAGTGTATCCTTTTGTCTTTGCTATTGTTTATGGTCTTGCTGCTGCTGCTGCTGCTGCTGCTGCTGCTGCTGCTGTTGTTGTTGTTGTTGAGGTGATGTTGTGATGATTGTTGTTGTTTTGATCTTGATTGTTCCTGTTGCTGCTGTTGCTGCTGTTTTGTGTTCACTTTTTTCTGCTATTTTGTTTGGTCTTGTTTATGCTGATGATGCTGTCGTTCAAAGGATTCCTTTTGAAGGGTGGTTGGCGGATGTTGATGATTATTCTGACCCCACTCAGCGTGCGGCCAATGGAGTTAACAACATCCTACTCATCAGCAACAGCCGTCGCTCGCTCGACAGCCATTGACATGACCTCAATAACTGCTCAATTGTTTTCCCCTTTAGAATCAAGTCTCACCTTCCTGTTTTTTCTTGTATTTCTTTTCTCTTTTTTTCCCCACTCTATTTTTAAAGATATTTAATTTTAACTGAGAAACGGGCAGGAGAATCCAAGAGGCGTGCAATCGATCAAGTTGTTAATGATTTCCCGTCTCCGAATTGTTGCTCGTTCATCCCGAGAGATCTGGTCAGCTGAGGTTCTTTCTCTAGTTGAAGGACAATGTCGCGCCGGTGGAGAGGCACAGCCGCTTTCATAACAGGCGATCGTAAACGAGAGTTTCCGGGGGCCGAGCAGGACGGATCAGCTCCACTGCTCATTGATTTTTCTCAAACGCTCTCACATTGTGAAAGATTCCGCTGCTGTGTTTAAATTGAGTCGGATTTCAATGCGGTGGGGAGGGAGAGAGGGGACTCGTACTGCGGGAGCTGAGCGTTTAGGTTTCCTTCTGCATTACTACTAATACTACAACAACAACAGCTGCTGCAACTACCACTACTACTATTACTACTGCCACAGCCACTGCTACTGTTACTGCTACTACTGTTACTACTACTACTACTACTACTACTACT